GCGCCTGTAAAAATTGACCATGCCTAAGAAACGTCGTAGCTGACGTACGTCAGAAGGTCAGTAGATACCGCGTGCCTCACGATATTACCATATATGGTGTTGTATCGATGATGCCGCACGTGATCGAATCTACGAAACATCGACCAATGGATAGGAAGAGTGTATAGTGTAAATGCGCGTGTGTGTGGCTGTATGATTGCATGTTTGTGTGAAATGTAGGAAATCCCCTATAGTTATATTATGGCCAATAAAAAAATTCCCATTTCTGATTTCTGAGAGGTCAGCAGATGGTCCAACAGGGAAGGTACATGATCCTCCACATTTGGGATCCGCGTAGGCAAACTAACCAGTTGTGTCAGACCATATGCCAAAGCAAAGTCATAAACAGCATGATCGATTAAACGTGAGCCAAGCCAATTCAGCATGGTGGGCGTTAAAATCACCGAGCATCACGATCTCTGCGGATGGAACCTGTCGTAGCACGGAGTTTGCAGCCATTTAGACCTGGTCGATGAGTCGGTCTGTGTCGGCATTACCGCTATGGGATCTATAGAGGCACCCGTAGACGCGGGGTTGGTCGTCGCTGTAAACTCCAGCCCGGGGCACTAAGGAGTGTTTTAATTTGTACTCCGGGTAGGAGAGATACGAAGTATCAGCCAGAGAGGACACCTGTGTCTCGGTTAGAAAGTGTAAGGCCGGCTTTGTCGTCTTCAGATGGTAGTGGACGGCGTTAAGGTTTGAATAAAGTCCCCTGATATTGCAGAAAGTTTTCGCAAGTACATGAATACCATAGAAGATGGCCTACGAAAAGATGTTAAGAAATTTTGGCAATACATTCATAATCGTAGAGATAGCAATAGTATTCCAGATAATATCAAATACAAACAGGAAGCAACTAACTTACCAGACGAAGCATGTAATCTGTTTTCAAGCTTCTTTAAATCCGTATTTGAACCATCTAACTTAGATTCAGAGAAGTTTACATCTGATAGTAATTTTTTAACAGAACCAAACAATTCTAGTCTAAATGGCTTTATTTCTACTATAAATTTCACTGTTGATATGGTAAAAAAAGAACTTGAAAATTTAGATGTTTGCAAGGGATCTGGACCGGATGGTATTCCTCCTTTCTTCCTTAAATATACAGCGGACACAATCTGTGTTCCTCTGACGATTCTTTACAATAAGTGCATTCAAGATGGTGTCTTTCCTGCTATTTGGAAAACAGCGAATATCACTCCTATTCATAAAGAGGGATCCAAGAACGACGTAGAGAATTATCGGCCAATCTCATTACTATCCGTATTGTCAAAGGTGTTTGAAAGATTAGTACATAATGTTATTTATCCTGTCCTTCACAATATAATCATACCCGAACAACACGGATTTGTTAAAAAACGATCCACAGGAAGTAATCTCCTCGTTTATACTACATACTTATTTGAACATATGGATAAGGGAATACAGGTCGATTCTGTGTATACTGACTTCCGTAAGGCCTTCGATAAAGTAGATCACTATATATTACTCAAGAAAATTGCTTTTAATGGGATTCGTGGTGATTTGCTCAGATGGTTTCATTCTTACATTACAAAAAAAAAACTCAGAGAGTTGTCGTCAACGGCCATTCATCTAACTTAGTTACTGTCACATCAGGTGTACCACAAGGCTCTATTCTCGGTCCCTTGCTGTTTATCTTATTTATCAATGACATCAACAATTGCTTTCATCACAGCCATTTCCTACTTTACGCTGACGACCTAAAGGTATACCTGCCAATCTTAAGCGCTGATGACAACTTTAAGTTACAAAGTGATCTTTATCGCTTATCTTTGTACTGTACTAAAAATAAACTACAGCTTAATGTTGATAAATGTAAATCAATAACATTTACAAAGAAGCGTAATCTTATAAATAATACATATACTATTAATAATACAGAGTTATGTAAGGTGGATCTAATTAAAGATCTAGGAGTTATACTAATAATACTCTTTAACAGTGGTAGAGCCACGCGACAGCTTTTGCTGTCGCACGGATGGGCCGGCTCGAACCGGGGTAGTACCACGACCTCACAGAAAACCAGCGTGAAGTAGAGGTTTACCTCTGCGTTTCGCTTGGTGAGTGCAGGTGGCCGGAGGCCCTTTTTACTGGAAATGAGGCATTCCATCTTAGTCCTCACGGGTGACAACGCATCTACATTTTGATTTGTAACAGAGGATAGATGTAGATGTCTATGGGCCGCAGCAACCACTTACCATCAGGTGGACTGTGTGCTCGTTTGTCACCCTTATCCTATAAAAAAAAAAAAAAAAAAAAAAATACTAGACGCAAAACTTGATTTTAACGATCACATTAACTATATTACCAACAAAGCATTTTGTATATTTGGTTTTATTATTCGCTCTTGTAGTGAATTCGTTCGACCCAATTCATATATCTACTTGTTTAATTCTCTGATCAGACCGATATTGGAGTACGCCTCTATCATTTGGAACCCATTCTATGAGAAATACAATCTTCAGTTAGAGCGTATCCAACGTAAATTCTTAAAAACCGTTAACTATAGATGCTATCACAGATCGTATTCAAGTTATATTAATTTATTAGATAAATTTTCGCTCCTACCTCTTTACAAAAGAAGGATACTTATAAATAATTTATATTTGTATAAACTATGTCATAATGATATCGATTGTATTCAACTCACTAATCAAATATTCTATCGCGTTCCAAGTGGTTCACAACGTATTCGTGAGAAATACTCACATAAACTATTTATGACAAAAATCTGTCGTACTAACGCTGGTCTTCGTTCCCCATTAAGACGCATAGTGCAATCATATAATGATTACTTTAGCGATATTGATATTTTTACTGCCTCAAATATGTGCTTTAAAAAATATATTAAGAACTAGCTGTTCCCCGCGACTTCGTTCGCGTGTTAGGGTTTTTATGTTTCTGCGCGGAACCCTGATTCTTTTTCTAAAATAAAAGTAGCCTAAGTTACTCCTTATGAAATCAGCTATCTGCCAGTGAAAGTCCCGTCAAAATCGGTCCAGCCGTTTCGGAGATTACCCGGAACAAACAGACAGACAGACAGACAGACAGACAGACAAAAATTTTAAAAATTGTATTTTAGTTATAGGTATCGTATTTACTTTCATATGCATTTAAAAAAAAACTGTAATTTTGACATTACAAACAGACACTTCAATTTTATTTATTTGTATAGATAAATTACAGGTATTACAAATTTAAAATTTTATTTGTGCAAACGTCTCTTATACTGTTTAATACTTATATATTTTTTGTGATAGTAATTTTTTCTCTTCAACTCGTTACTTATTACTTATTGTTTATACTAATATGTGGTATACGGTGTTGAATGTACATATATTATACTCTTTTTTGATAATACTTTTATAAATACCTTTGTACATTTGTTTGTATATCTTAATAAATAAAATAAAAATAAAAAAATAAAAGTCACGTAAAGTGTGGCAGGGTTTGTCTTTGTTCTATTGCTCCGTTTGCCCCGAGCAGGTTTCGTCTTGAGTGGATTTTCGACACCCCCCCCCCCCCCCCCCCGAATACGCGGTGCAGCCTGAGCACCCATGCTCAGAAAAAGTAAGGTAGATTGGCGTGGATGATCAGCGAGGGATTCTCCATCACCAGGAGTGCTAGTACCCTCCTGGGGTAATAATCTATTTAACTCCGCTCCCATGTTAAGAGGGGGAGGGGGGGAATTGGGCCTCCGGTCACCTACACTCACCGGGTGAAATGCAGAAGTAAACTTCTACTTCACGCTGGTATTCTGTGAGGTCGTGGTACCACCCCGGTTCGAGCCGGCCCATCCGCCGCCTGGTTCTCCCACTGTTATACTCTAATCTATCATTGCTTTGTACAATATCGTACTCAATATTCATAATGAATATATACGTAATGTTTATTGATTTAGATACACATTACACACTATTAGATATTTGTTGCTAATTAATAATTCCCAATAAATACTTACTTAGGCCTCTGCCTCGAATTTTGCGGGCAGCGGGATGGCGGCGGCATGGGCGTGTGAGCGGCAGGATCTTATGCGAAATATCAAATGGACCAACCCTCGAAAACAGCGGCGCGGCAGCGGCGCAGGGGCGGGCAACGAGCGGTGCACTCCAGTCAAGCGGTGACTGCCCGCGCGTCTGCATTGCAGTGTTGTGCAAATTATTTTTGTGACGTGTGGAAATGTCCTCGGACGTGCAAGAGCAAGAGCAAGGCCGGGTTCAGAAGAGTGTAACGTGTAATGTAATCCACCGTGTAATGTAACACGAATTCTACGTGTGGACGGCACTACGAGCATTACATGTAACGCTCGCGCGGCGCTCGGGGTTGATCCATCGGCTGTCGGCTTTTCGCGCGAACACAAAGGCGCTCGCAGTGCTCGTTTGGACGGCGTTCGTGACGGTTGTATCGTGTGTACGTTCATGATGTGGAGTGACGAACAATCGCTTGAACTTATTAGTTTGTATCAAGAAAACCCTGTTATTTGGGATCCAAAAAACCCGCATTACTTCAAAAAATATCTGAAAAACGATGATTGGAGTGATATTGCTCATTCATTGGGAAGAGATGTGGAAGAATGCAAAAACAAAATGATTAGTTTGCTTGCTTCACATCGAAGAGAAAAAGGAAAAGTAAAGAAGAGTCATAGTTCCGGAAAAGGTATGTTTTATTATAAATTTCTGTTGCTTTACATATTACATACTTTTATTTATTAATTTAGTTGTTACTTATTAGGTATTATCACTTACTTGCTATTAGTACAATTATTACTTTTATTGTATGATCTTCCGTCCTTGTCTTTTTTTAAACTGTTGTTTTATTTCTTGTAATTTATTTTACAGGTGGGGATGAAACGCATTTTTAGGAGATCGAAATAATCCAAAGAAACGACGCAACACAGAGGTAACTGCATTGAACTAGTTTCCTTCGACTTGATAAAAAACTTAACAATATGTATTCTGCCAAGAAACTGTACCCTCGTTCATAAAATAGTCATTAAACTCATCTCTAATTTGTTTTGCTGTTAAGGTAGCCCTTCTAGGTACATTATTCAATGGAAGTAAAGATGACATTTCAGTATCTCTCCGCCAACTACCTTCACATTATCTTCCGTTTTGGTCACTGTCAAGTGATCCAGGGGGTGCATACAAGTTTTTAGATGAATCCGTGTTTCTCAAAAAATTATGCAAGTGTGCAATAGCCATGACTATAGTCTCCACGGTTTCGGGCTGAAGGAGCATAGGTTTTCGTAAAACTCTGAACACAGATGCTGTGATACCAAATACATTTTCTACAATCCTGCTAGCTCTGCTTAACCGGTAATTAAAAATTCTTCGCGGCGATCCCTTGGGGTATTCTCCTGGATAGGGTTTCATTATATTGTTTTGTAAAGGGAAGGCGGAGTCTCCCACAAAAACATATGGTACTACTTTGTTTCTACCTTGCAGTGCTTCAGATGCAGGCAATCTTAACGAATTATTTTCTAGTTTTCTATATAATTCAGTTTCCTTAAAAAGTCCACCATCTGAAATTCGGCCTTGACATCCGACATCCAGAAATTTATAATTATATTCCGCGTCTACTAAAGCAAACATCACTATACTGAAATTCGATTTGTAGTTACGATATTCTGTGCCACTATGTACCGGAGCCCCAAAAATGACATGTTTACCGTCCATGGCTCCGGCACAATGGGGAAAATTCCACAATTCATCAAATCTGTTTGAGATCTAGATCCATTCTGACTCTGTTGTTGGCATCTGAAACAATGAATTTCTTTTTTATTACAGATTACAAATGAACCGGAACAGAGAGCATCTACAAGTGCAGAAAATGATAACGGTTCAGAATTTATATCATCAACTGGTCAGGCCCCCCAAAAAAAGAAATCAGACGAAAATAAAAAAATGGGTATGCTTTCGGAGGCGCTTGGCCTGCTTAAGAGTGCTGCTTCTAGTCCTACTCCTGAACCCCGAAACAATAATCCAAATAATTTTGACAATGAAATCTTTTCAAATTTTATATGCAGCAAGATGCAACAATATAACAGAAGTACTAAAAATGCCGTGCAGCGAGCAATAATGGCCATAATATTCAAAGCCGATGAAGGATGCACTAACTTTTCTCAACATTATAATCCATCGGCATTCAATTCTCAATTCAATTACAGTGGGTATACAACAGGCTCGGTTCCTTCATCAAGATACTGTAATGAACCACCTTCTTTATCTAATCGCTCAGAATCATATACATCAGGGTATTCAACAGGTCAGAATCAGACAAGTTATCCTACAGCTCCATATGCTTCACCTGTTCCCTCAGAATCATCCCAAACTTCATATGAAGATGTAGATTTTGTGAATGACCTGATTTGAAAAAAAAATTGTACTACATAATTGGAAGATGCAGACTATGTCGATAATTTGATTTAACTTTATAACTGTAATTTTGGTATAATTTTAATTTTGCTTACCCTACTTAATACAATACCTTAATTTGTTATTTTCTATAATCGCTTCACAAACTTCTGGTACAATACAAGACATTGACTGTTTTGAAATTCTGAAGGTGTGTTGAAGGCTAGTATATGAATCTCCTGTTGCCAAAAATCTTAGTGTTAGAGTCAGTCTGTCTTGCGGCGAAATTGCAGATCTCATTATAGTGTCTTGTCTTGATATTTTAGGCGCAGTGATTGTTAACAAATATTCGAAGTCAGTAGGCGACATCCGGGTAAAGTTTTTATATTGACCACTTATATGCTGAGATTTTAGTTCCACAAGTAAAGAAGATCTTCTTTTATACAATTTAGTTTTCCACCATCGACGCTTTCGACGTTTCCGGTCTTCAGTTAGTAAATACATGAAAATAAAAGCCGCACCAGCTATCACGACCTTCCTATTCGGCATGTTCGTAGTAACTGAGTGGAAACAGCTTTTGAAATAGTTTCGCCTACACAATTCGCTTTGAGTTCGTGTGCCGTCCACACTGTTGACGCTAAATTACACGTAATCTTACATTACACGTTACACTCGTCTGGACCCGGCCCTAGACGACTACTTTTTAATGAGTTTGCTTCCACAAATGAAAAAATTCACGCCAGTACAAAAGTTTAGAGTGAGACAAAAAATAATCAAGCTCTTCTAGATGAGTTAAGTGAAGAATGAAGACATGTACCTTTCTAAGGAATCATATATGTATGGGTAATACTCAACACTAGGTATATCAACCTCATAATAAAATATACTATCAAATAATAACAAATCTGTGATTGTTGAAATAACTAATCATCGTACTTCGATATCGTAATTTCGATAAACCTCGTCTTTTTTTTTCCTTGCCCTATAGTAGGGATTCACTTCTTCTTTTTCCCACAATAAATCGAGCGTTAAGAATAAATTTAAATCAAAAAGATGTTGTCGCCGTTGTTCAGATATTTCATTCGCAAATATCTCGACAACACAACTATGAACACATCATTACGCCGCTATAGTGTCGCGCGATCTGCCCGCTGGTTTCGAGAATGGGTCTACGTTGCCCGCCCCGCTCCAGCGTCGCCACCGCCGCCGCCCCGCAGCCCGCAAAGTTCGAGGCAGAGGCCTAACCGTGCTTACTGGTTACAACGTTTGTGGGCTCGTGGTTATTATATACTCTTTGGAGTGGGCAGGCAGCCGATCTGCGCGGAGTTTTGGCGGGAACTTGACCGGCGGCAGTTTGTTGCTCCTGTTTTATTGTTTAAATAATGGTTTGAAGTGGACTTTGATATGTAAAAGTGGTGCGTTTTTGTGTATTAAGTATTTGCGCATGTGAACTATTATTGGAAACTGTGAAACAAGTGCTCTGATAGTGATGTGATTCTCAAAATAAGGTGCCTGTCTGCTTAGGCGCCTTGAGATACCATCGCCAACCGTCAGCTGTCTGCTGGCTCAAGTTACCGTCAAAATCTCCCAAGGGCTGTACAATGTGACGCATCGACATATTGTGAAGTAGTATACTATGAAGTGAACTGTGATGATGAACTGAACTCATTCAAAACCTGGATTCCAAATCTAAAACAAAAACTAACCGGAAAAGAAATTTACTCTAGACCTAAAATAATAGAGACAGCAACTAATTTCTATAAAAACTTATATGCAGAGCAAACAAATTCTCCAATGAACACTTCTGAAGTAAATGCTGGACAGTTATCATCCCCACATTCACACCAGTTCCAAAGATTTACAATAGCTGAGGTCATTAGGAAGATAGAGACTCTAAAGAAAGACAAAAGCTGCGGGCCAGACAATATACCCAACGAGATATTTATAATAGGGAAATATCTATTAGCGCCAATTCTCACAACACTTTTCAATAAAATCCTAGAGTTTAGAAGGATACCAAAAAAATGGGCAGAATCTGACATAACATTATTATATAAAAAAGGAGATCCTGCTGATATTTCAAACTATCGACCTATTAGTTTACAACCAAGCCTCTATAAGTTATTTGCCTCATGTTTAGAACAACGCATTAGTACTATCACTGAAAAATACCAACCAATAGAACAAGCAGGTTTTAGAAAACGTTTCTCGACTATAGACCATATACATACTGTTGAGCAGGTCATAGAGAAATACGAAGAACAAAGACGTCCGCTATACCTAGCTTTTATAGACTATGCAAAGGCTTTCGATTCATTATCCCACATTAGTATGTGGAAAGGTCTGATAGAATGTAAAGTACCATTAGAAACGATTGAACTTCTACAAGACATCTATAAAAAAAGTATAAGTCGAGTAAAACTAGACAAAAAGGGTCCAGAAATAAACATTTGTAGGGGTGTCAGACAGGAAGATCCCTTATCACCAACAATATTTATTACCGTGCTTCAAAGTATCATGAAGCAACTTAATTGGTCCAAAAAAGGCATAAATATACAAGGAAAATACTTAAGTAACTTAAGATTTGCTGACGATATAGTCTTATTTTCAGAAACAGCATCACAACTCGAAGAAATGATAAAAGAACTTCACTCTGTCAGTCACGCTATTGGCTTGGAACTAAACACAGATAAAACAAAAATATTGTCCAACAACTTAGAAAGGCCTATTGAAGTAAACAACCAAACATTGGAGTATGTTCAAAAATATGTATATCTAGGTAAAGAGGTATCTTTTAAGAAATCTAGACACCGTGATGAACTTAACAGACGTGTAAATTTGACCTGGGCAAAATTCTGGAATTACAAAGAAATCTTAAAGTCGAACTTTCCTCTAAAACTTAAAAAGAAAATTTTAGATTCATGTATTCTACCTTGTCTGTCCTATGCAAGCCAAACTTGGATATACAACACCTACACGAAAAGAAAAATTGAAACATGCCAGAGAGCTATGGAACGAAGCCTACTTAATCTGAAACGTAAAGACAAAAAACGAAATACTGAAATTAGAAAAAGAACAAATGTTATAGATGCTCTATCTCATTGCAAGAAACTTAAATGGAAATGGGCGGGGCATATTGCACGTATGGAAGATAAAACATGGACTAAGAAGGTCACTACATGGGCTGGCCCTACTGGAAAACGAAAAAGAGGTAGACCTCTAGAAAGATGGACGGATGAAATTGAAAAGTTTGCTGGAGACGATTGGATTTCAGTGGCCAAGGATAGGGAAAAGTGGAAAAATCTGGAGGAGGCCTATACTCATAGAGAGGTCCTTAACAATAATAAGATAAATAAAAAAAAAATATTGATTGTAACGATAATTTTATCTTATTTAAATGTATTTTCTTTCATGATCTGATTATGTTTGTTTTGTTTCTATTTTAAATTATTTAATGAAATTAATAATTAATGAAATGTATTTTAATAATTTTGTTAAGGAAATAAATGGCTTTATAATAATAATAATACTATGAAGAATAATTATTATAATATAATATTGTAACTTCACGCTCAGAAAGGCTAGATCCCAGAGCCGTAAAGCCAGTTATCAAGAAGAAGAGACCCGATCTGCGCGGCTGATCCCCGTCCCCGCCATACTCGGCCTATACTTAATTCTGACAGATTGACATGACACATGACAGTTGGTAATAATTTCTGGCATCCGCGGTGAAGACTTTTCGGCTAAGATTATATTTATTGACTGAAATTATTTTGTATGTACTGAAAAGTATAGTCAAATTAAAAGAAAATACAGTACAGTTATTATTTTTAACGACTTTCAATAACATTGTTAGTTATGATTTAGAAGAAATAAGTTTATTTGTAGTTTCTGCTATCTTTGGGATCTGTTGACATATGAGGTGTTTATGTGTTGTGTTGAACGGGGTTTGTTATTATTGGCTTCAAGATGGCTTTGGGAGGCTCCACGTATTTAAAAGATGCCTCCATGCTCGAACAACTGCTCGAGGAAATCAACTTCCAGCGAACCAAGGAAATGCGTCAACTAATGAAGGATGGTGAGTTTCATACTTTTTTTCTATATATCTAGAAACTTAGTATTTCCATAAAAGTTCATTCTATGATAATTCAAAGTTCCAAGTTTTTTAGAAGTGTGGGGGCCCAGAAACCGCCAAGGACGCGTATCGGCTTAGCTTTTCATTGACGTCCGTCGAGTTGGAGGTTGATATTTTTACAGAAAGGATACATTATTATAAGCACACAGGCAAAGTTGAAACATGCGGAAACGCATACTTTTTGAGAAAAGAATTATTGAAAATTAACTATTTTTGCAATATTTATGTCAATTCCTACAGTAAAACTCTGTCCAAGTACAAGGAATTAAAATTAGTATTCAGCCTGGGTGAATGAAGATTAACAATATGCATACATATACATTAGACTTCTCTCCCTTCTAATTGATCTCTTGTAATTTTATAATTTATAATTAAAATTTTTGTACTACTGATTTCAATATAAATTAATAACAATAACTCAAAAACTATTGGTCAGACCCTGATCAAATTTATACGGGACCACATGAGAAGTACCAGCTTTCAAATAAAAAAAGAATCATCGAAATCAGTTCACCCAAAAAAAAGTTATGAGGTAACATACATAAAAATAACATACAGACGAATTGAGTACCTCCTCCTTTTTGAAGTCAGTAGAAAATCATTGGATTTGATATCATGTATATAAACTTACAATACTAATATTAGTCGGAGATCCTTTTGTCGCTCTTGCGCTTGTAACAGTCGTACTCACGCATAGTAGGGCTGCCAAGTGGTGGTGCCTTTGAATTGCTTTATTGGTATTGGTCCCTACACATCAGACATTATAGTCTCCTTCTCGTCTTAGGGTGATGGAGGCAATGCCGTACTACACGGCCTTCTCTTATTCACTTAAGGGAAGACAAAACTTATGTTGCTACTTTATATGCAGAGGGTAGAGCTTAATATTAGGTGGGCCATCTGCTCATCCCTTCACTTACTTCTCATTAACAATACTCAATAGCGGGTAAGTGAAATGTGGCAAGGGCCGTGAAATGTTATTGGTAAAAATTTAGAATTGTTTGGCAGGAGGGGGTGAGGGAGTAAGTATTTCTGGGCGATAAAAATGTAACTATTAAGGCTGTGAAATAAACATTTACTTTGGCACACACATTTTAAAAGCAATAAAATCTGTAAAATTAGTTTCATGTAATGTGTAGTATATGTGTAAATATTAGAGATCATTAAAAGAAATCATTACATAAGAAATCATTCCATATTATACTTTAGCTTTCATTTACCTACATAACTTAGTGATCAGGGATCAGAGGTTTTTCTCACTGTTGGCTTAAAACTCATATAGAAAATAGACACCAGTGTGTAGAAATCAATAGGATAAGCGAGGGAAACAGGATTACATCTGATAGTTTAAATTATAAAATAAATAAGTTTGGAGTACCACTGGGTAGCATTCTAAGTCCTATATTATTGTTGTTATATATGTATGAATGACTGCAATGAATATCAATGCATAATGTTTGTTGATGACATTTCTTAAAATGACATTAATAATGTGAAGTCTGAATAAGACTAATGTTATAAACTTTAATATAAAAGGACGAGCATTAAATAATTTTAACATACTGAACAAAAATATAAGTATTAAGAGGGCTAACATGGTTTCATTTTTGGTTAGAGCTCTTGATGAGAATTTGAATTTCACTGGCGATTTTGACAAGGTATGTAATAACATCAATAGTTTTGCTTTCATCTTAAGGCATTCAATTATTTTTAAATAATAAGGGTGACAAACGAGCACACAGTCCACCTGATGGTAAGTGGTTGCTGTGGCCCTTAGACATCTACATCTATCATCTTTTTCGAATTAAAATGCAGATGCGTTGTCAGCCGTAAGGACTAAGATCGAATGCCTCTGTTCCAGTAAAAAGGGTCTCCAGTTCTCTACACTCACCATACGAAACACAGCAGTATTAAGCTGCTATTTTACACTGGAATTCTGTGAGAGTGTGGTCCTTCCCCGGTCGAGCCAACCCATTCCTACTACAACTATACTATTAATATAACTGCAGCTGCAGCATAGCTCTACCACATAATTAAAGTAATTAAGAGACTCTTAGTGTAACCATGTCTGCTGTGTTGCTGTGGCTGCTGCACAAAAATTGTATATAGCCTATATGTGGTAAAGGTCCATTTGATACATGCAAGCCCCTATTAATTGCTGGGTATATTGATAGTCCCTGGCATGTACAATTAGGAATATATATATTTGTCAATCAACATACAGAGTTAAAAATAGCACAAGAGACAGTGATAAGCTTGCCTTAGACCATAAAACAAAAAATTCTGTCTGTCAGAAAGGTTGTTATGTCATGTGTGTAGGAATATTTAATAAATTCTAAAGCAGTTCAAGCATGGCTCTATAAGTCTCATGACCAATAAGTTACGTGAATGCTTAGTAATTTTTTTTTTATTAGAGTGTGAAGGAATTTCAAAATGATGATAATATGCACATTGACATGATGGATGTTATAGCTATGTGTATCACGGCATATCACTAATTCTATCTGATAATTGTATATCATTCTAATGACATCATGATAACTTTAATTAATGATTGAATACATTTTTTTTGTATCATATATCAAATGTGATTAATATATTGTGCGTAATTTTCTGCACAAGAAGGCATTTTAATATCTAGTATGCAAAAATCGTTTAACAATTAAATTGACCGCTGATGGTAACTTCTACAGGCAAACTTTTATTTGTATTATTGCTCTCTGTCTGTTGAACTAATGAACTGAACTCTACCTCGCTTACCAAAGCTCTATTTGTGTTAGGTCATTTTTTGCAAAAGTAAGACCTTCTCAAAGAAGAAATAGGTACCTAGTTAGTATATTTCCAATACAACATAAATCTTTATTGTTATGTTTTTCAAAACGTTTGAATCCCTTATATACCTAATAATAATGTAGATGGCGATATTTCCGAATTTAAACACGGATTTAGGACTAGTCTTTCAGTCGAAAGCCATCTGGTATCCTTTGTTTGATTGATGTTGAAAAAAGTTTACAAGTTGACACAGAAGAAGTTTTCTCAAGTGCATTTGATAAAGTTGACGATACTATTCTATTATCTAAACTAAAAGCTCAGGAGTAGATGGAACTTTGTTGACATGATTTCCATCTTATTTACTAAGAAGAAATCAAGTTGTAGCTGTCAATGGTCATGACTCACATGTATCTTGGTCCAATTTTGTTTCTTATATTTATAAATAACATCACCAAAGTTCTAAAATACAATAAAGTGTCTTTGTTTATAAATGATCTAAAAATTTATCGCACTCAATGGTTTACATCTCCAACCAAATAAATGGCTTTTTTGACATTTCTTATTTCGACTGTCGCAATTTCTAAAGCATTAGTATTATTACCCTAGAAAGGTAACATTAGTACCCTAAGAAAGGTAACCGCTCTAATCCGTCCAACTACAAGCCTATGGCCATCACTTCCTTGTTTTCAAAAATAATGAAATCAATCAACTTTAAATTAGCTGTCATCTCATGCGGTACTTTGAGAAGCACTAGCTGATTAGTGACCGGCACTGGGTCGCTCAGCTGGTGATCTTCTTGTTTACCTAACACATTGATCAATAGAGCAGGCAGTCGAGTCCAAGGGGAAGGTCATTTTGACAGTTAGTTTTGACATAGCGAAGTCCTTCGATCGGATTTCACACAAAGCTTTTCTTTCGATGCTTATCTCCTAATAAGAATTAGAAATTATGTGATTCATAGTCAACGGTGCATGCCCCGACTAAAAGCCTGCAAACGCTGGTGTTCCACAAGGCTGCGTGCTATCGCTTACCCTGACCTTCTGTCTCCGTATCAATGATATGTTGCAAACCAGCAACGGTAGTAGATTATAAAACATGTTGATGTTTGACAAACGAAATTTTAATTTAATTCGTGGGAAAAAAGTGTTTGTTTCATTTTATTTCCAATAACATTCATTATTATGCAAATGAAAGTAATGCTTTATTCACGGGCCATGCTAATATTTCTAGGAAACACGTTGTTGAGTGCCGGAACACACTTGTGATTGAAGTTGAGACTTTGTCAAATAAAGTATTGGATTGGGGGTGATTAAATCTAGTCCAGTTCAATTTCCCGAAGACACAGGTTTACGCATTTACCGATTTCTTTTGATTACTCAATTTCTGGGCACTCCCCTTGTTGCCTCAGCTAGCATCCTCGGCGTCGACGTATCGAATGACGTTCAGTTCTGCAGTCAACTAAAAGAAGGAAGGCCTCTAAAAAGCTTTGCGTGCTTCGTAGAGTGTGACAGAATTTCATACAGGCCCAGCGTTTGCAACTTGTGAAAGTTGCAAGATTGATCTCACTTGGGATACTGTTTTCACATGTGGGCCGTGGCACCTCAGTACTAACTCCTTCCAGTTGTGTGCATCTAGCGCAGAGCGTCCCAAATCGTCGATGACTGGGTTCTTTCTGATCGACTTGACTAACTGGCGCTGAGAAACAAGATATATTGGATCCCTTTGCATATTCTAACGCATCTACCACGGGGAGTGCTTAGATGATATGGTCGGACGAATTCCAGTCGCCAAAAATCACCATTACAAATCGCGATAAAACTCGCGATACTATAAATACCATGTAGTTGGTTGACTTAGGGACCTTCAAGAATGGAGCCTAATCTTTTTAAAAGGCTGACAACACCTTTTAAAAAAGGGTAAATCAATGCAATGACGATTTATGCTGTAAATGCCTAGCAGTTGCTGTATCACATAACCAATCTGAGGTTTTTTCTGACAAAAAGGGATAAATCCCTGATATTTACTCCATAACCCTCTAGATCTATGCACATCAATGGTACCTACATATAATACTAGGAATATAAGGAATATAGAATATCTTTTTATTATATTTATTAATTTTTCTGAGACAAACTTGCAGTAACCCTTCACTTTCTAAAGTATGGGTTTAAAAATAAAATTTTAAGTATAAAAACATTTATTGAATTTTTAATTTACAACAGTAATTGTATAAACAGTTAGTTACATACTTTATTTTCAGTAGTATTACTCTGAAGTCCAAGGATCCATAAGGTCTTTTGAGAGATTAAATTTTATTGATATAACAGTGGTTATAAATACAAGATATTTATTCACATTTAATATATTTTACTCTGCCTTAAAAATTCAATTCCAAAAAGCAATCTTCTCAAAACTTCTCTGAAAACCGATTTGGCCAGTCGCCAGTTCTTCATTGAGACTGCATTACAAGGAATGTGTTTTCAAACATGTTTTTTTTTGTAATGATTAGAAATATAGTTAATTTTCATATTACATTTTTATGCGACGAGAATTCTTTATTTACATAAATAAACAAAAAAAAAACAATGATAACAATGTCTAGCAAGTGTGTTATTATAATATACGAGGTTAATGTTAACAATGTGCTAACATTACAAATAACAATAATATTAAAACAGACACATATAACACTAAGTACTTGCAGTTTTATCAAAATTTATGTTATTGTGTGTATATACCTTGTAATAATAAATTGCATACATGTAATAAAAATGTGACCAATTAATGTAATGTAATGCACTGCTCTACATCGGAATTTGGCGTGCAATATTGATTGTAACAATAAGTTAGTGTTAACTTTTGTGGAAAACATTATTGTTTAGATAAAAAAAAACCTTTATAATAAAAAAAGAAAATAAAAAGTTCATAAAAAGATGTGAATAGGTTGTATAAATTACACACATGATATAACACGTTTAAATAGAAAGGATGTCTTAATGTACAAAGTAAAAAGTTATTTATATTTTATGTTCACCCACTGATCCACATTTGATTTTTTTTTAATAAAAAAACAACTTAGATTAATTTATTTTACATTTGCGTCAAAATCATTTGAGCAACATTACTTTTTTGGAAACAGATTGTACAAGTCATGAAATATTTTTCTTCTTTTTATATGATTTTTATTTACACAATGCAAAGCATTTCCTTGTACTGTCAATAGGCTACAAATAATTTGCCAGTCAAGCTATTTACAATGAATGATCATTCTGTTGACAGTGATCAGGCAACCTGTATCAACACTGTTCAGTTAACAATCAACAATGTATACAATGAATATGAAAATCGAATTACAGCAATAGATTTTTCCTTGTCTATAGTTATTTTAAGCTCAATAGGAACAAAGATAATAACAAAGAAAGGTAGACAGAGTGCCGCTATACATTTCGAGTGATGCCAAAACTATGCTCCACTTATTGTGACACACACACTCACGCACACATATTTTAATTATTTTTTATCTTTATCAGTCTGTAGAAGCTCACTGCTGAACACACACATACGTAATTAAAACCATGTTGTTGGTTGCAAATGATTTTAGATGTATATTTGTATAAGTGCAACTTCTTACAATAAGTTGAGCGTCATTTGGTTTGGTTTTGATATCACTTGAAACATAATTATGCAAGGCTCCATTGTTCTTTGTGTTCGTGATCTGAGATGTCAGCGAAACGAGTAAAAAATTTAAAAAGAATAGTAGTTTTAGAGCAGATTTTACAATGAAATTTGTTGTTCTAGTAACAACTACACAAGTTTTCAATTTGAAGGCACTTTTTATTTCATAATAGAGTCTAAAATAAACCATAGTACACTGTGTCAATTAATATTGTGCTATTGTATTTACTATATATACATGCAACAACTTTGGCAATCAAAATACAAGTTAATAAAATTTAAATTTATTCGTCAACGTTAACAGATTCTGGATTTGTGGTGCTACAAGGAACAACATACTGGACAGATCTGTTTGTGAGGCACTTCCTGTTCCAAGAGGAGCAAGCTATTGACTGTGATGACCTCCTGTTCTTTGTAAGGAAGAGGCATGTAAAAGGTTCCTCTCGTTATCTGCCTAAGTATGAGGTAAGTCTATTCTAAATTATTTTTCAAATAATGGTGAATTTATATGCGTACATTTGAAACAAATCTCATTTATCTGCTATGTGTTACTTGACCTCCGTGTGCCAGGGAATGATAAACAATGCAAATTATGTTTTGATAGTCATGTGACTGTAAAAGTGTCACTGAAATCAATTTATTGTAGTGAATAAAACAATTTCATGTTTATATAAACTTTGTGTGAAATGGAATATTTTAAACATAATTTTTAAGCACTGGCAACTTAAGGCAAAATAAAAAATAAAACTGGTTTTGCATGCATGCATAAAATTATAAACATAAAGACATTATGCTATTACTTTAAACTTGTTTTTGAAAGTTTTTAAATTTTAATAAGTTTGTGGCTTTATGTTTTCAAATCATGAAGTAAATTATCTCTGTCACATTTTAATAGCTTTATGCCTGCCAATTCAATAATTGTCTGATAACTTTGTGACATTCCTATTGTATTAAAAGTATAATTGGTGCTTGTGCCAATACTACAAAAATTTGCCGTTCCCAAATTATTTTCTAGATTAGCACCATTTGGATTAAAGATACAAATTTCTCTCGGACATATTTTTGGGAATACAAAAAGTTTTGCAGTTATAACAGTTGTGTACTTTATTTTTTATACATTATAAAAATATTATTTCTTATCAATATTTCTATTACAACAACTATGTACTAAGCTTTGCCTCGAGCGGCACTCATCTCACAATTCATCCCAAGCTAATCACAGTACAATTTGTTAATAAATAGTGTGTTCTTTGTTAGACTCCAAATTTCATGTTCAATAACCACTTATAAAATATACAATACACTTTACAAAAACGAGAATTTCATAAACAGTCGACTATAACTCCATTGTTTATTGCGAAAAAAAAATGTATCTTAAATCTATTTAACAATGAAAGCGTAAGTCGTTAGAACAGTTCCCTAAAAAGCGAGGACAGCGTTCGCTCGCACTGCTATCACATTTCACACGCAGCCTCAAGTCTAATTGGACCGTACGGTCGCTAAGCACAGCCTAAATACGCGTTCACACAACTCATCCGGCGCCCGGGTGCTCACAGACGGACGTCGACGTGTACCGCAAGGACTCGAAGAAGCTGCCCATCGGCGACCCGGAGATTGACTGGGAGGAGACCGTCTACCTCAACCTGATCGTTCACCAGTTCGACTACACGCTCACGTTGGCGATCTGCACGCGCACCAGCCCCAAGGAGCTGCAGGTGCTGAAGCGGCACTCGCAGAAGGTGAGCGTCATACGCGTTCGGGCGGCGGAGTCGGAGCGCGTCACTAGCTTAACCGGCTGAAGAGCTTGGTCCGAGGCCAGGGTAAGGGCCAGTCGTAGCGCCGTGGAACCGGGCCCCGCACGTTCCTCTCCAGGTACGTGAACAGCCAGTACCACCATTCCCTCTGGATCATGTACTGGTTGTAGCTGCCGCCGCTGCGATGCGGCGTCACCAGCAGCGAGTGGAACGTCCAGAACAGCCGCGTGGTCACGTAGTACGCGATCACCACGTCTACAGTGTAATGACCGTGCGCGAGGAGCACGAACAAAACGCCAAGCAACGCCGAGCCCCACATCGCCCAGTGCACGGGCCACAGCTTCTTCGGCGAGTATTCCGCCACAATCAGGTAGCTTAGCACGAGCACCATCGTGTGCCCCGAGTAGATATAGTCGCCACAGTACGTGTGCTTGCCGTTGATGGACAGCCCGAAGCCCGAGATCAAGTAGAACATTCTTCTGATGACGAGCAGTGGCGTGGTATTATTACTCTTCGGACTGCAGTAGTACGTCGTACTGGACACTGGCAGGACGGTCACAAACATGGTGACCGAGCGGTACAAGTACAGCAGGCCAATTATGAAGAACATGCGTCGCGCGACGATGAATCGATGCTTGTGGAAGATGACTACAAGCATGGCGACCGTCGTGGATATCATTATGAGGTACTCGGAAACTGCCAGTCCCCAATCTCGCGCGGTGACGTTGTCAAGCACGATGTCGGTGAGCGGGGGGGTGGTATTTCTATCTGGGAGGCGTTCGTGGACGAGCGATAGCGACATCATGTTGATGCAAACGCAGAGGAATAAGAAGAAAAATGAGACTATAGTCTTCCATATTTCCTTAGGGTAGCGCTCTTCGCGGACGGTGCCGGGCGGTATCTCGACCACGAAGTCGGTGGCGTGGGAGCGTTGAGGTGAGTGCTCTTGGTCGGGATCCGACTCATCTGTGGTAGGTTGAGGCTCGGGCTTGGCGTTACGCGCCAACAGAGGCTGACGCTGCATGAGCTCGGCCTGGCTTGGCATGGCGGCACGGCGAGATGCGTTGTTGTTCACGTCATTGCGCGTCAGCCGGGGCTCGAAGTTTATCCCGCGGATGTCTTCGCGCGCGGTGTCGCTGGCTATGTCCGCATGGCACGCGGGCAGTGGCGGTGGCGATGGCAGCGGCGGCGATGGCGCGGGGACCAGCGCTAGCTGCTTTGCTGGCACCTCATTAGCGAGGTAAACCCGCACCGACTCGACCAGTGGCTCCGCGAAGTTGATCTGCTTCGGTGGCGACGGCTCCTTGTCCGGGGAGCGCGCTGAGATCGTCATCCAATCACCATTCGCCTGGATCGAGCCTGTAATTGAAACAAAATCCAGTTGAGATAAACGTTATCAATTTTGGTACGTAACTGATAAGTCAGCATTTTTATGTAGGTAACGTAGAGATAGTTGTTTTACTGATAGATTATCTTTTGCGTCGTTATTGAAAATGATTCCATTAATTATTATGACTATTTTTATAGGATGTTAATGTGCACTTAAATATAATTACGGTTAAATAAGCTTAATTGGAGCTCATAAACATTTTATGGTCTTAACTGCCAACACACGAATAAATTAAAGGATTACCGCTACACCCTATATATAAGTATATATAAGTCCACTGCTGAACATAGGCCTCTCATATAGATTGCTTCGCAAGGGAGGATATTTGCCATAGTTAACACGATTGGCAAGCGGGTTGGCAACCGCAGTTTTTTTATTTTTAGTCGTTATAAGGAAGACGCTGCTGCCCATCTGATTTCTTTCCCCCTGTCGTCCACGGGATGATATGGGTAGTGGATATTCTTACACCGCCACTACACGGATGAGGAAACTGAAAGATATAAGTGTTTCTCATAACTAAAATGTTTTTGTTGTTGCATATGTTTGATATAGGTATGAATGTTTCTAGACGTTTCAAAACAAATTATCGTGTCGGTTCAAAGACCGCGAAGAGCGTATCGCTCGGCGTTCACTCTTTAGTCACTTGATAATTAGTTAATTCAATCTCGGCGGTCCGGTTCGCTGCATCAGTGACGCGATATTGAGATACATTCAGACGGATATAGATTCACCGTAACGGTAGATTTCTTTCTTCCTTTAAGCCACCGCTGAGCGAACGTTTACATGTCGGTTTAGAAAGCGCACGGAAGTACCGTACACGATTCCTACTCACCCGATCAATGTGCGAGCTGTCATTCGTACCGAGCGCGGCCTCTCATCGATTCGTCCCGTAGAAAGCCGGAGCGCCGGCTCGGCGGCCTGTGAAGTGTCGCGGTCGCGTAAACAGGGTCGTAATCCGAAATGATTCACAACGGTTAGTTAGCGGCACATTATAGCGGAGCACTGAACATTTCCACCGAATCACTCACTTTGTCACAGCACAGCGCGGCGTTTTGAGTTAGATTTAATTGTATTTTTAATCGACGGGCGTTGAACGAGCGAGCTTCTAAAGCGGCGGTCGCGTACTAGAAACTGGTGGGGCACTCTAGTTGGCTTCGGTCGGTCGCGTTCGGGGGCACTCGGTCTGTCTCGTGTTCGCTCGGCGCGATGGGTCGGTAGGGCGCGAACGAGAGATGGATGACGTCATTTCATTGTGTACGTGTCCCGCTCACACGGTGCGGCTGCACTTAGCGGGCTATCTAAACTCGAGCCATGAGTGCCACTGACAGAGATTGATTGAGTTTAGCAATTCGAATTTCATGTTGTTAATGAAGCTGAGATCTGCTGTATTTCATGTTGTTTATTTGATCATGTGCTCTATGATTTATTGATTTAAACAATAAATGAACTGGAATTAACGAATTATTAAAACGAAATTCAGTAACTTTCTAACTCATAAAATACTATATCTTCATTTAGAGGGAAAGTGTTTTTAAACGCAGTCAGCTGTGTGAAGTGTGGGTCGTGTATCAAACACTTGTAAATGATTGCCATTTTTTACAAACGTTTGGAATGACATCCATATAGTCCGTGTGACTCATTACTTTGTTTAATATGAGGCGAACAATATTATGCACTGGAGATATAGGCCGGTAAAACAATAGCATTGTGTTTATTTATGAGTTGCATCGGGGAAATGATTTTTCGCTCACGTGTGTGCGCTCATGGATATTGTAAAATTATTAAATACTAAAACATGTTGCGATTTAAAATGTAAAGTTTTATTTATTTCATATTATATGGAACAAGGGTGACTAACACAGCACACAGTCTACCTGATGGTAAGTGGATGCTGTGGCCCTTAGAACTTCATCTACATCTATCTGTCCTCGATAAATAATCCAAATGCATATGCGCTGTCTCCCCGAGGACTAAGATGGAATGCTTCGTTTCCAGTGAAAGGTGTCTCCAGTTCTCTACACTCACTATACGAAACACAGCAGCATTAAGCTGCTATTTTACGCTGAAAAAGGTTGATAAATGTTGCTAGCTATAAATATGAGCGTTTACCGAGACGCCTGGAGCGGAATGTAGGCGTAATGACGTTTATTTTAATAACTCAATGAATTCGTTGGATTGTAATAGTGTAAAATTGTTATTGTTTTTTTTTTGAGTAGTTTGAGCAATCCCTGGAATACTTTTAATTTGCATTAAGACAGATGAAAGTAATATGTGAAGGCTTGTTATTAGCAATTCTTATCACCATTTTGTAACTTTACGAAGATATATTAGTCTATAAGCCACCTAATAATAAGTAAGAAGTACTAAAAGGTATGCTGGGTACTGCTTTTACTTGACATAGATACTGAGTACTAATTAATATACCGTTTGTCATGGGCGATGGTAGATTTTTTTGATAAGCGCCAAGATACACTGTTGGATGAATTATATAACAAGGAAAAATAATGAGCATTACTCATTTTAATACTCATTGTAGGTAATGCGGAAATTGTTCAATCAATGTTAACTATCAAAAGAAAAACTGTTAATAAGTCACTTTAAAAATCGGCGCAAAAAATCTTTATTAATTTCATGTCATGGTAGTTTTATTGATTAGGAAAAGGGGGCAAGATGATGCAATAGGAAGTAAACGTTTTGGCACAATTGGTTTTAGGTCATTCCAAAGAATTTTATGCCCAAAAATTATGCTGTTAACCATACTTCTAACAATTGTAATGGATGTTGTTTGGATGCTTCATCGTTATCATCATTACAGCCCTTATAAGTCCACTGCTAAACAGGCCTCCCCAAAGAGTTCGTCACCCTTATTCTATGAAAAAAAAATTAAAATCGTTTAATTGCAATAGATTTCGTGTCATGTAGGTTTTAGTAGTTTCCGCGTTTGTCGCGTATCTCACACATCGACGGATCAATTAGATCAAGTTGATTCATACTGTGTAAGGATGCGGGCCCGAATCATCGTACTGCCCTCTCCTCGTGTACGGGAGTTACGTCATCCATTGAGTATTTAATTTCTGTTTCTGGAACGTGAATGACTAATGCAATAGACTAACGACTAGCGGAATAATGTTATCATATTGTAGTGTTTCTAATAACAGATAATGAACACAATTAGATAATGATTTTATTTTCTTATTGTAAACTAATAACCCGCCCTGGCTACGCCTGGAGGTCTATTAATGTGGTGTGATGTCTAAAAGACTTCGTGAACGCACCAATAGGTGACCTCGTGTGTGGTTTGTCTTTGTAAACTGTCATCTGTCACTGCAGGGATAATTTTGTAATGTTGCTTTATATCTCCAATCGTTTATTAAAATAATTTAGTAACCAGTTTCGCGAGCTTTATTCAAACACCAAATGTGGTGTCATTTGGATTTAAGGTAGTCATTAAGGCCATTTATACTCATGGACAAATTTTGAGAAACACAAAAAATGGTTGGTCATCTGTGGTCATCTGTGGTCATCTCTGGCCACAGTTTTCCGTTTACGTCCTTGTCCTGCGAGTCTCGTAGTCGTATACCTACAGGTCTGCCAAAACCTCTTGACAACTCGGTGTAGGTACCACAGATTTTGATACGCGATATGTTTGGGCCATACGTTTGTCGGTGTTCCAAGTTTCAAATAAAGTAACAACCCTAGCAATTTTAGTGGCGTTTAGATTTGGCATTCTCAGTCTATTTGCAGTAACAATTCACTTTAGCAAGATAATCAAGGCAGTCAAGACAAAAAATTTAAATAAAACTTAAATTTAAACTCAAATTCAATATTTTGGTAACTTTTTTCGCGGTATGAAAGAACGCAATATTACGCAAAAATTACACAAAAACAAATGAAATTTGAAAACAATTTTTTTTTAATAGCATTCACTAATATTTGTGGCTAGTACGCACGATAGTTACAACGGGAGAAATTAAACCCATTTTTGCGTTCCTCTAAATTTGTCCATGAGTGTATATTTAATTAGTTTTTTTTTATTACAAAGAAAAACTTCGATTTTTTCCGAAAAAAAAAAAAAACTATAGCTATTCTTTCCTGGCATTGATCTTAGTGCACATCAGTTTGTGAAATTTTATTATAATCAGTTCAGCCACTCTGAAGACTAGCCCGGACGGACAGACAGACATTTCTTTAATTTTCCGTGTCTTAATGGCATGCAAATAACCCCGTCAAGTCAATAAAAGGCAGTTATTTCAATATTACAGACATACACTTCTATTTTATTTATGTAAATTAATTGCGACTAGAAATTCAAAATTATTTTGAGTAATACCCGTGCAATAAAAATAATTTTACGTTTGATTGAAACGTATTTTGAAATATCAACGTCATCCTCGTCATCGTCGTCCATGAAACGACGAGTCATGATTTTAAAATAACTTACACTTAAACGCGATAGAAACAGCATACACTTAAACGCGATAGAAACAGCAACACTAGTTTCATTCTATTTACCCGACTGCCCCAGAAGGAGAGTAATGTTTTTCGTAAGTTGGCACACTCTGTAGGTGTAGCCTGAACGTCTTGATGGATTTTAACATATCAGGTGACGTTAGATTCGTCTAAATTGTAGAATTGATATATTGCATAATTTTTTCTCTTTTCAATAAACTTTTTTACACATTTGGGGTTAATTACTTTAATTACTGCTTTAACCATTCAGCTTGTTTGATTATAGTGTTTACGTTGGATTTAAGTAATTTATTTTTATTTAATTATTTAATGATAAAAAAAAACAATGGGTAGAGTTCCGTTCTAGGGACACCTCCGATTTGCCCAAAATTTTCTTACATGTTTACTGATTCAATTTTAGTACAGATTCGATCAGATCAGATATCTTATCTATAAAGTTAGGTTGCCTTCGCTCCCGCCACAACCTTCTAACCTATTACAACTGCAAGTATTTCTGAGTGTTCAA